TATCTTGGTCTTTCTTGTGAGGGACTTTGAGAAAACAATTGTCAGAGGTGTATATCTGTTATTCCTACCCTCCCACCTTACTGTTCTTTAGCCATCTTTATGTAAACCATTATATCCATGGTTCCTCACTGAAAATATGATAAAAAATGTGAGTGCTCCACACATACACATGCACAGATACTCATATGCACACAGACACACACATAATTTTACTTTAGGAAGCTTGTGAACCTCCATGAAGCTCAGCTATGGACTGGACCTTGGAGCCTGAGTTAAGATTCCCAAATTGGAAAGAATATTGGCCCCCAGAAATCTAGATTTATGCCCCAACTCTGCCATAGCCGTGTGACCTCAAACAAGTCTTCTGTTCTTTCTTAGCCAGTGTTGGACTAGATGATCTCTAAAGTTCCTTCCAGTTCTAAACATGTATAAGTCTAGAAGCATTTTCAAATGCGGATCACAATTAGTTGCTTTTTTCTTGACCACTTTTCCCAATTATCATTTCATACTCACATTTCTAAAATCAAGACTCCCCATGCCCCTTGGCTTTGAGTAATCATTAAAAAATGGTTCTCTGGTCTGTGCGAAGAAATGTTTAACTGGATAGAGACTGAACATATGCTTTTTAATAGGACCTTCCCAATTATGGTGGTCTCCTCCTCTTCCTCTTTATTCCAGTATTCTCCCTGTTGTGTGCATGTCAGGAGAGCTGTCACCCAGTGCATTGTGCTAAACTGTCTCAAAGAGGGAACTGGAGCTGAAAAGATCTCATGGAGAGAACAAAGATGGCTGAGCTTTCTGGTCAGTATTGACCTTTGAAGAGCCCTGCCAAAACCAATGGAGGGAAAGAGAGTTTTCTTTTCATGCTGGATCTTTTTTTTAATTTTTAATTTTAATTTTAATTTTTTTTGCCCATGACAGAGCCTCAGGAGGTCCTAATGACTTGCCCTCATGCTGTCTTTTAATAGAAGAATGAGCATTCTTAAAAGTCAGTTAAATGTAGGTTATTAAAAAGAGTTTATGCTGCTTCTCAAACTCAGGCTAGTACATGGGTGTTTGTTTCAGTCACAGAGCAGGCGAGACAATTTATTATTGGCCACCGATTTTAAATTCCTCGCTTGCTGGGCGCGGTGGCTCACGCCTGTAATCCCGGCACTTTGGGAGGCCGAGGCAGGTGTATCACCTAAGGTCAGGAGTTTGAGACCAGCCTGACCAATATGGTGAAACCCTGTCTCTACTAAAAATACGAAAATTAGCCAGGCATGGCGGCATGTGCCTGTAATCCCAGCTACTCAAGAGGCTGAGACAGAAGAATTGCTGGAACCTGGGAGGTAGAGGTTGCAGTGAGCCGAGATCGCACCACTGCACTCCAGCCTGGGCAACAGAGTGAGACTCCAACTCAAATATAAAATAAATTCTTTGCTTGCAGGAACTGTGTGTTATTCTTTTCATGCCCAGTGCTTAGAATAATGCCATGTACCTATTAAATGCTCAAACTTTAGCTAATGTGTGTATGACAGCCATGAAAATGTGCAGTTCAGATTTGCCTGCTGCAGGGAGCATAACTAAAAGCCTCAGCCACTGCCCACCCTGGGTCATCCATAATCACATTTGCACCCCAAAGTTGCACATTTGCATCTATAACCACATTTGAAGGAACCACGCTTCCTGTAGGCTGCTCCCAACCAATGACCGAGCACATCAGGGGTATTAACACAGGCAGATCCTGGTGAGATATGGGGTTCTTTTGCGATGAGGACTTCTCACTGGCTTAGCCAAATCTTTCTTAAAACTGTACTATAGCCGGATGCAGTGACTCACGCCTGTAATCCCAGCACTTTGGGAGGCCGAGGCGGGTGGATCACGAGGTCACGAGGTCAGGAGATTGAGACCATCCTGGCTAACACGGTGAAACCCCGTCTCTACTAAAAATACAAAAATTAGCCGGGTGTGGTGGCGGGCGCCTGTAGTCCCAGCTACTTGGGAGACTGAGGCAGGAGAATGGCGTGAACCCGGGAGGCAGAGCTTGCAGTGAGCCAAGATTGTATCACTGCACTCCAGCCTGGCCAACAGAGTGAGGCTCTGTCTAAAAAAAAAACAAAACAACAACAACTGTACTACAGTCTGAGACTATCATATCTAGACCTCCTTCTTTGCCTCTCTTCCACGGTCATCAGATCTTTGCTGTGCTCAGAAGGCTCTCCCTGTCTTCTCCTACTTCCTCCCCAATAAGTCTCTTGGAATTGCCTATCCCATCTTGGTGTCTTCTTGGCAGATCTGAATTAAGGAAATATGAAAGAACGAATGAGCCTTTGTTGCGATTAAGAGTAGGAGAGGAGAGGCCAGGCGTGGTGGCTCACGCCTGTAATCCCAGCACTTTGGGAGGCTGAGGTGGAGGAGGAGCTCTTTAGGAGGCCGCTTGAGCTCAGGAGTTTGAGACTAGCCTTGGCAATACAGTGAAACCCTGTTTCTACAAAAATTACAAAAATTAGCCGGGTGTGGTGACATACACCTGTGGTCCCAGCTACTCGGAGGCTAAGGTTGGAGGATTGCTTGGGCCTGGGAGGTGGAGGTTGCAGTGAGCTGAGACTGCTCCACTGCACTCCAGCCTGGGCAACAGAGTGAGATCCTGTCTCAAAAAAAAAAAAAAAAAGGGGAGGGGTCAATATGTTGCAAGATATTGGAGAGCACCTGTGATAATTTTTTATTATGAGGCTTTAGGTAAAACTATTTGAAATGTTTGGAACCCTAGAGTCAATGTGATCCTTTCTAAAAGCGAACTGATCTCATCCCTCTTTTTTTTTTTTTTTTAAATTAATTATTTTTCCTTGGAGCTGAGTTCAAAAGAATCCCTCCTTCTTTTTAAAGTCCTCCCATTGCTTCCTATTGCTTTAAGATAAAGCCAATACTCTAACATGGCCTAAAAGGCCCTACTTGGTCTGATCCCTGCCTTCTCTTGCAACCTCATCTTGCATTACACTTCCCCTCCCTCACTCTTCCATAGCCACATGGTCTTAATTCCCTTTATTCATCATGTTCCCTGCTGTCACGAGCCTTTGAACATGCTGTTCTTTATACTCAGAACACTGTCCTCTCTCCTCTTGGCTAGTGAATTCCTAGTCATACCTGAACTTAGATATTGCCTCCTCAGGTTAGCTTTCTTTGACTTTCTTAACTAGGTCAGATACTCTGACATCTATCACTCCTTTATAGAACTTGATCACAGGTGCAATTTTACATTTGTTTGAGATCTGGTTAATATCTCTTTCCCTCTTTACACTGTAGGCTACATAAGGAAAACGTAGGGGATGAGAGGAAGTGTTCTAGAATACAATGTGAGGTCTGGAGTTTGATTTTAGCCCACTTACAACTAATAAATTAGCCATTTACTGTTTCATGGATGCTGGCAGAAGTCAAGAGACTTTGAGACTAGAGACAAAGGAATTTATTATTCATAGCACAGCAAGTAGCATGAGCATCATGTTTATATTAGTTCTCCTTGCCTCCTCCCAAGTCCAGTGCAGAGGACTCAGGTAGATACTTGCATAGGCCATGGGTTGCTTTACAACAGAGGAACACTCACAGAACCTGCAGCTTGGGGAACTTGCCATTTTACAACAAGCAGAAGCAAGCATGTTCTTTATCTGAGTGAAGATAGTACCTCATCCCTCAATATTTCTTGCTGCAAGCACAGTCCTGAAAAATAGCCCAAGTAAAGAGCAGTCAGGGTTTTGCAATCTTGCCATACCTAGCAAGATGTGAAGGAGCATAAGAGACCGGCCCATGGAGGAGTGCTTCTTTTTAAAGTCCTCCAATTGCTTCCCATTTCGTTGCTTTGCATCTCACCATATAGTTCCTCCAAAAATCATTTATACCCAGGTAAAGCCTCAAAAGAGTTCTCTCCCACCTCCATGCCCTGGCTTCTCACACCCATAGTATATACATAGTATTCTGGGTTGGAAAAGGAATCTAGCAATGGATGTGCTTACTAGAAGCACAGGCTCGAGAATGGTTATTAGGGCTATATTTCCTTGAGCCAGCAGTATTGCATAAAAGAATACTCATTGGAACCAAGACTGCTTGAGTTTGAATACTCAAACTGCTACTTTCTCCTGGCATAACCTTGGGCAAGTTATTTAACCTCTCTATACCTCATTTCCCTCATCTGTAAAATATGGATAGTGAAAATATCTGCTTCATAAAGTTGCTGTGATTAAACACGTAAAGCAGTTACAGAAATGCCTGACATACAATGTGTTCAATACATGTTAGCACTTATTGTGGTGGTTATTATCATCCTGGGCCAGCTAACAATTGTGGAGTAATCTACTTGTATTTCATCAGGCAGTGATAATGGTCTGCTGACATTGGGAACTCTGCCTCCAATATTTAAGTTGTTCTAGGACTAAGTTAAAATGTGAACTATTCAGATTGGAGGTGGGAGTGAAAAAAAAATTTAAATAAAATAAAATGTGAACCAGAAAATTGGTGGAGGAGGGCAGGCATACGCTGGTCTTTCTAGGCTAATTAACTTAATCACAGTCTAGGTTTATTAATTTAAATGCTTTTAAATGGCAATAGGTAGGGAGCTAAGGGGCTGACTCTTTTTTTTTTTTGAGACGGAGTCTCGCTGTGCTCCCAGGCTGGAGTGCAGTGGCGTGATCTCAGCTCACTGCAAGCTCCGCCTCCCGGGTTCATGCCATTCTCCCGCCTCAGCCTCCCAAGTAGCTGAGACTACAGGCGCTCGCCACCACGCCCGGCTAGTTTTTTGTATTTTTAGTAGAGACGGGGTTTCACCATGTTAGCCAGGATAGTCTCGATCTCCTGACCTCGTGATCCACCCGCCTCGGCCTCCCAAAGTGCTGGGATTACAGGCTTGAGCCACCGCGCCCGGCCAAGGGCTGACTCTTAATGTAGGTACAGGTTACAGATACTGTATTGAAGTATAGCACCATTTGGAGGTGTTCTCATTGCTGAACTTAACTATTTCTCTTTTATAGTGAATGTGGTGGAGGCACTTCAGGAATTCTGGCAGATGAAGCAGTCCCGTGGTGCTGACTTAAAGAATGGGGCTCTAGTGGTTTATGAGATGGTTCCCTCCAACAGCCCTCCTTATGTCTGCTATGTCACGCTGCCTGGGGGAAGTTGCTTTGGGAGTTTCCAGGTAAGAGTTGTGAGGTGGCAGTAGCAAAGGTAAATGCTTAGATGTTAGTAACGGCTTTCTCCATCACTTTGGCCATTAAACTGCCTGAAATCATATATTTGAGGACCTAAAGCAATTCTGGGAAAATTATTCTGGCAAGCATCTGAGGCCAATTTGACCATAATAGAACCTCAGTATCATGCTTTCCTTTCAAGAACTCAAACCCATTTTGAATTTGAGCAGTTATGAATATCCCCTTGCTCAGTATATCCGACTACCAGCATCCAACCCATGTTCCAATCTGGCTTCAGTTATTGCATTCCAACTATTTTCCATCTCTTATTGAGGATATAGAACAATATTCCTTGCCTCCAGTACTTTTTCGTAGGCAATTACTAAAGAAAGCAATGTTGGAGTTCTCTAAGAGGTCAAATCGGAGGGACTATGTATGGTGGGAACAGTACACATCTAGGAGTTAGGAGATCTAAATTCACATTCCTCTGAATATCAATGGGGCAAATCTCTGGGCCTCACTTTTCCCATCTATAACATGAAGGAGATAGGTTAGATGATTTCTGAAGTCTTTTCTACTACTAACATTCTACAATTATGTGAAATACCTATGATGATGAAAAGAATGGTTGCCATTATGAGGTAGTGAGAAATTATGGACTAGTATGAATATTCTTATCAAAGATGGATTTTTTACATTGCAGACAGGGAGGCAGCCTTCTGAAATGTCAGTTTAAAACTCTGAAATGGAATTTAGAGAAAATAATAAACACCTTTGTTCTGCTTTCCATATGGTTTGTATAACCCTTAGACAAGGTTAAAAGCCCTGCTGTGTGTCTGCATAGCACCTTGAACTTCCCCTATCATATCACTTATTACAACATATCATAATTGTCTCTCCTAGTGGACTGTGTTCCATAGAGGCAAAGATTGTGTCTGTCTTCTTGTTAAATCCCTACCACCTATCTTAGTGCCTACCAGATAGTAGGCAAATATGTCTGTTGCATGAATGAGTGCCGTTGCAGCTTAGTTTATGCCTCAAACAAAGCAGTCCTAAGGAAACTTCATTTCACATCAGGTGATGAAATTTTTTCCCTTAGAACTGCAGTCATTTCAGGCCTGGTGCGATGGCTCACACCTGTAATCCCAGCACTTTGGGAGGCCGAGGCGGGCAGATCGCGGGGTCAGGAGATTGAGACCGGCCTGACCAACATGGTGAAACCCCGTCCCTACTAAAAATGCAAAAATTAGCTGGGCGTGATGGCGCATGCCTGTAATCCCAGCTACTTAGGAGGCTGAGGCAGGAGAATTGCTTGAACTCGGGAGCCGGAGGTTGCAGTGAAAAGAACTTCAGTCATTTCAGAGAAATAAATATATACCCAAGATGACGAATGTTTATGTTCCACTTGTTTTTTTGAGATGGAGTCTCACCCTGTTGCCCAGGCTGGAGTGCAGTGGTATGATCCTGGCTCACTGCAACCTCCACCTCCTGGGTTCAAGTGATTCTCCTGCCTCAGCCTCCCCAGTAGCTAGGACTACAGGTGCGTGCCACCAGGCCTGGCTAATTTTTTTCTTCTTTCTTTTTTTTTTTTGTATTTTTACTAGAGACAGGGTTTCACCATGTTAGCCAGGATGGTCTCAATCTCCTGACCTCATGATCCGCCCACCTTGGCCTCCCAAAGTGCTGGGATTACAGGTGTGAGCTACCGCGCCCAGCCTATGCTTTCACTTCTAAGAGAATAAGATCTTTCCTTCTTCTTTTTTTTTCTTTTTTGGAGATAGAGTCTCGCTCTGTTGCCCAGGCTGGAGTACAACAGCCCGATCTCAGCTCACTGCAACCTCTGCCTCCCGGGTTCAAGTGATTCTCCCTGCCTCAGCCTCCCAAGTAGCTGGGAGTACAGGCACCTGCCACCACGCCCAACTACTTTTTTGTATTTTTAGTAGAGGCGGGGTTTCGCCATGTTGGCCAGGCTGGTCTCGAACTCCTGACCTCAAGCAATCCGTCCACCTCGGCCTCCCAAAGTGCTGGAATTACAGGCGTGAGCCACCAGGCCTGGCTGATCTTTCCTTCTTCTTCCCACCTCATTACGTTGTTGAATGACTTGAACATTTTATGATGGATGCCCATAACTGAAACATTGTAGTAATTATATTTCTGTTATTTTTGGAAAGGGTAGAATTATCTTTCTTGGCCTTTTAGCCTAAACTTTTTTTTTTGAGACGGAGTCTTGCTGTGTCACCTGGGCTGGAGTGCAGTGGCGTGATCTCGGCTCACTGTAACCTCCACCTCCCAGGTTCAAGCAATTCTCCCTGCCTCCACCTCCCGAGTAGCTGGGATTATAGGTGCCTGCCACCACGCCCAGCTAATTTTTGTATTTTTGTATTATTTCACCATGTTGGCCAGGCTGATCTTGAACTCCTGACCTCAGGTGATCTGCCTGCCTCAGCCTCCCAAAGTGCTGGGATTACAGGTATGAGCCACCTCGCCAGCTTTTTTTTTTTTTTTTTCTTGAGACAGGGCCTCTCTCTGTCACCCAGACTGAAGTACAGTGGCACAATCATGGCTCACTGCAGCCTTGACTTCGTGGGCTCAAGTGATCCTCCCACCTCAGCCTCCCGAATAGCTGGGACCGCAGGCATGTGCCACCATGCCTGGCTAGTTTTTGTATTTTTGGTAGAAATGGAGTTTTGCCATGTTTCCCAGGCTGGTCGCAAACTCCTGAGCTCAAGCAATCCTTTCATCTCAGCCTCCCAAAGTGCTGGGATTACAGGTGTGAGTCACCCGGCCAGGGGCAGGGTGCAATAACTGAAGCTAGATCAGAACATGGGCTGGGTGTTGGTAGTCTGATATACTGAGCAAGGGCATAATCCACAACTGCTCAAAATCAAGATGGGTTTGAGTTTATACCTCTTTATCCACTTTGGCAGGTGAAATTTCTCCCACTGGTTTTCTTCACAGATGACTTTTTAAGCAACAGCACTATAGAGCAGGCCAGCAGGCTAGTAATAGACAAATAGAAATAGACAAATTGAAGCATTGGGAAGACTTCAGACTTATTTACCAAACTTCATATGCTGTCTCAGAGAGCCTGTTAGTTAATAGAAATTAGGAATTATTGATAGTAGGGATGTTTAAGTACTAAACACATCCTGGTCTACTTATTTATTGTTTTTTTTTTTTTTTTGTTTTTTTTTTTTTTTTTTTTTGAGACAGTCTCACTCTGTCGCCCAGGCTGGAGTGCAGTGGCACAATCTCAGCTCACTGCAACCTCTGCCTCCCGGGTTCAAGCAATTCTCTGCCTCAGCCTCCCAAGTAGCTGAGACTACAGGCGCTCGCCACCACGCCCGGCTAGTTTTTTGTATTTTTAGTAGAGACGGGGTTTCACCATCTTGGCCAGGCTGGTCTTGAGCTCCTGACCTCGTAATCTGCCCACCTCAGCATCCCAAAGTGCTGGGATTACAGGCGTGAGCCACCGCACCCATTATTTATTGTTTTTTTAAGACAGAGTTGTGCTCTGTTGCCCAAGCTGGAGTGTAGTGGCACAATCATAGCTCACTGCAGCCTTGACTCCTGGGCTCAAGTGATCCTTCCACCTCAACCTCTTGATTAGCTGGGACCACAGGTGTGCACCACAACCATGCCCAGCTCATTTTTAAATTTTTTGTAGAGACAGCGTTTCACTGTGTTGGCCAGGCTGGTCTCAAACTCCTGGCCTCAAGTGATCCTCCCGCCTTGGCCTCCCAAAGTGCTGGGATTACAGGCATGAGCCACCATGCCCAACCTCTGTTCTACTTTTTATTTTAAGTTTTCTTTTAGAAACAGAGTCTCACTCTGTCACCCAGGCTGGAGTGTAATGGTGTGATCATAACTCATTGCAGCCTGGAACTCCTGGCTCAAGTGATCCTTCTGCCTCAGCCTCCTAAATAGCTGGGACTACAGGCACGTGTCACCATGCCTGGCTAAATTTTTTTTTTTTGTAGAGACAGGGGTCTTGCTATGTTGCCCAGGTTAGTCTTGAATTCCTGGGCTCAAACCATCCTCCTGTCTTAGACTCCCAAAGTGCTGGGATTACAAGTGTGAGCCACCAAGCCCAGCCTTGGTCTACTTTTAAAAACTGCAACATCATTTTCTTCCTTTCCTCTAATTACTCATAAATGACATAGGGCAAAGAGGCCTTTGAGATAGCCAATAAAGATGAATTATAAAGGAATACTCTGGTGGCTAGAGATCTGAAATTGAATAATTTTGAGACTTCTGCAGATCAGACTTGTTCTGTGATACCTATGTTGGATACAATATAAAAACATGAATTAATTTTTATTTTTTTCCTTCTTAAGTCAGCTTTCCTTCCCATAATTACTCCTCTTCTCTTTGTTTCCACTGGGGGGAAGAAAAGAAGTCTACAAATTCCTTCCTCAGACTTAAACCCTTCTCAGGGATAGCTCCTTTGGCTCACTACATTGAGAAAATGCCTGTTCACAGCTAAAAATGAAGTCCAAAATTCCAAGATGGGTGCTTCTGATAGTGGCCTTCTCTGTAGAAGCAGCCTAGACACAGCTTCGGTTCTAATCTTGGGTTATCTAGAGGAATCCAAAAAACCTTGCCTGTCCACAGAACAAGATACAGATTTCTATTAAGCTGGCCAGAATCTGACTTTTGAGTAATTAATTCTGTCGACAGTTTTAACAGGGGTATTTTTCACGTCCAGTGATTATATGCTGACTTAAGCAGCCTTCTTCATTCTGCATTCAGTTTGGTATGAGCTACAGCACTCTCCAGTACCTTAATGACTTCAGGATGTTGAATCAAAGTTACGTTTCCAAACATCCCGACCACTTTACCATAAAAACCTTGGAGAGTGTGTTGAACACAACTGATTTATCCAAAGAGTGTCCAAGTGTTTTCTATCTGAAGTGTTTCCCTCCCACTGTTCCTTCCTCTCTCTCATATGCACAAATACACTTATTCTCACTCATTCTCCCCTGCCTAGTTTTGCCCCACAAAAGCTGAGGCCCGGAGGAGTGCTGCAAAGATTGCGCTAATGAATTCTGTGTTTAATGAACATCCTTCCCGAAGAATCACTGATGAGTTCATCGAGAAGAGTGTCTCTGAGGCCCTGGCATCTTTCAATGTAAGTTATATGGAGCTGGAAGGAGAGTGGGAGATGGGAGAACCGGCTGCTTGGGAATTCATAAATTACTGTGAAACAGAGCATGAATTCCTGTTTTCTTTCTGGTCCACCTCTCTGTTCTTTTGATTTATTCTCTGTCAGTTTATTGTGTCATGTGTTCCACATGTCTCAGTCTCTAATTCTATATCTGTGTTTATGTGTTTTTGGTTGTTTTGTCTCTTTCATTTTATCTCTTTGGTATGTAGAAACCTTTAATTGCATATTTATGGAATTGTAGAGCTATTCCAAAATGAAAATTGAGCTTGAATTTTGCTTTTGCTAATTTGGGTTAAGACCTTAGTTTCTGCTGTTCTTTTTTTATAAGACTGTTTTTTATTGTCACTTTTCTCCTGCCTCCATTACTTCATCTTATTGATAAATAACCCTTTTATAATAAAATGTCTTTTTATCTATTTTAGGAACAAGGAGGATAATTTATTTACTCTCTTTATTTACAACTGTTCTTTCAAATGATGATGATAAGAATCACCATAATTAATCCTAATTGAGTATTTACCTTGTGGCAGGGACTGTCCTAGGGGATTTTTATGTATTTTACCTCATTAGATCATCACAACAATCCTAGGAGGTATAAGTACTATTATTACTCCTATTTTACAGATGAGGAGACTAAAAACACAGAAGTGAAGTGTCAACATGATATAGCTCGTAAGTGGTCACGCCAAGATTAGCACCCGAGTTGACTTAATTTAGTTACATCTTAGAAATTAACACTGCTATCTTCCTTCCTCTCCACAAATTCATTGATACTCAGACCAAGTATCTGTTCTATTTGCATTTAATTAAGATGTAATTACAGGCCGGGTGCAGTGGCTCATGCCTGTAATCCCAGCACTTTGGGAGGCTGAGGCAGGCAGATCACCTGAGGTTAGGAGGTCAAAACCAGCCTGGCTAAAATAGCGAAACCTCATCTCTACTAAAAATACAAAAGTTAGCTGGGTGCAGTGGTGAGCGCCTGTAATCCCAGCTACTTGGGAGCCTGAGGCAGGAGAAAAGCTTGAACCTGGGAGGCGAAGATTGCAGTGAACTGAGGTCATGCCATTGCACTCCAGCCTGGGTGACAGAGCAAGATTCCGTCTCAAAAAAATAAAAATAAAAATAAAATTTAAAAGATGTAATTACATATACTAAATTAGTTCAGTTATCTGCTTTGTGGATTAGTTGTTGAACACTTTATTGAAAGTTGGTTTCCCTCTGTTATTTAGGACCCAGCTGTTTTTCTCCCATTATTCTTTGCCCCAGTCAACAGCATCTGCAGGGAATGAAAACATTTTTATATTAATCCAAACCAAATAAAAAAAGAAGACCCCAGCTAAAATTTTTTGGAAAGTACACTTGCTATTTTTAGGTCACCTAATGGTATTGTAAAAGAAAACAGGGCCAGGCACAATGGCTCACGCTTGTAATCCCAGCACATTGTGGGGCAGATGACAGCAGATCCCTTGAAGTCAGGAGTTCGAGACCAGCCTGGCCAACATGGCAAAACCCCCTTTCTACTAAAAATAGAAAAATTGGCTGGGCACGGTGGCTCATGCCTGTAATCCCAGCACTTTGGGAGGCTGAGGTGGGCAGATCACGAGGTCAAGAGATTGAGACCATCGGGCTGACATGGTGAAACCCTGTCTCTACTTAAAAACAAACAAGCAAAAAATTAGCCAGGTGTGGTGGTAGCCGGGCGCGCCTGTAGTCCCAGCTGCTCAGGAGGCTGAGGAAGGAAAATCACTTGAACCCGGAAGGCAGAGGTTGTAGTGAGCCGAGATCGCACCATTGCACTCCAGCCTGGTGACAGAGCGAGACTCTGTCTCAAAAAAAAAAAAAAAAGAAAAAATGCAAAAATTAGCTGGGTATTATGGCACACGCCTGTAATGCCAGCTACTCAGGAGGCTGAAGGATGAGACTCGCTTAAACCTGGGAGATGGAGGTGCAGTGAGATCATTCCATTGCACTCCATCCTGGGCAACAAAGTGAGATTCTGTCTCAAAAAAAAAAAAAAAGAAAAGGAAAAAAAAAAAAAAAAGAAACTGTGGATTATAGAAAGTGGGATGTGCAGTATTTATATGATCATAGGCTCTAAATTCATTGTTGGCCAGGCGCAGTGGCTCATGCCTGTAATCCCAGCACTTTGGGAGGCTGAGGCGAGCGGATTGTCTGAGGTCAGGAGTTCAAGACCAGCCTGGCCAACACAGTGAAACGCCACCTCTACTAAAAATATAAAAATTAGCTGGATGTGGCGGGCACCTGTAATCCCAGCTATTTGGGAGGCCGAGGCAGGAGAATCACTTGAACCAGGAGGCAGAGGTTGAAGTGAGCCGAGATTGTGCTATTGCACTCCAGCTTGGGTGACAAAAGCAAAATTTTGTCTCAAAAAATAAATAACTAAATTCACTGTTATTGAAATTATGGTTCTAGGCCAGGTGTGGTGGCTCACACCTGTAATCCTAGTACTTTGCGGGGCTGAGGCAGGCAGATCACTTGAGCTCAGGAGTTGGAGACCAGCCTGGGCAACATGGTGAAACTCCATCTCTACAAAAAACACAGTTACCTGGGTATGGGGGCACGCGCCTGTAGTCCCAGCTACTTGGAGGTCTGAGGCAGGAATATCACTTGAGTGAGGAGGTCAAGGCTGCAGTGAGCCAAGATTTTACTACTGTACTCCAGCCTGGGTGACAAAGTGAGACCCTGTCTCAAAAAAAAAAAAAAAAAAAAGAAAGCAATTATGGTTCCTGGCTGGGCATAGTGGCTCATGCCTGTAATCCCAGCACTTTGGATGGCTGAGATGAGCAGATCACCTGAGGTCAGGAGTTCAAGACCAGACTGGCCAACGTGGCAAAACCCCATCTCTACTAAAAAATACAAAAATTAGCCAGGCATGGTGGTACACACCTGTAGTCCCAGCTACTTAGGAGGCTGAGGTAGGAAAATCGCTTGAACCCAGGAGGCAGAGGTTGCAGTGAACTGAGATTGCACCACTGCACTCCGGCCTTGGCAACAGAGTGAGACTTCATCTCAAAAAAAAAAAAAAAAAAAGTATGGTTCTATAGTCTTCCTTTGGGATCTATGTGGGATTGGTTCCAGGATCTCTCGAGGACACCTAAACCCAAGGATGCTCAAGTCCTTCATATAAAATAGCAGAGTACAGCCTGGGCAACATAAGGAGACTCCATCTCTACAAAAAAATAATAAAATAATTAGCTGGGTATGGAGGCACTTGACTGTGATCCCAGCTACTTGGGAGGCTGAGGCAAGAGGATCACTTGATCCCGGGGAGGTTGAGGCTGCAGTGACCATCCACTGTACTCCAGCCAGGGTGACACACAGAATGAAACACAGTCTCAAAAAAAAAAAAAAAGTATAGTATTTGCATATAACCTATGCACATCCTCCCAAATGAATGCTCTAAATCATCTCTAGAGTACTTATAATACCTAATACAGTGTAAATGCTGGGCTGGGCATGGTGACTCGCGCCTGTAATCCCAGCACTTTGGGAGGTGGAGGCTGGTGGATCACCCGAGGTCAAGAGTTCAAGACCAGCCTGGCCAACATGGTGAAACCCCATCTCTACTAAAAATATAAAAATCAGCCAGGTGTGGTGGCGCATGCCTATAGTTCTAGCTACTCTGCAGGCTGAGGCAGGAGAATCCCTTGAACCCAGTAGGCAGAGGTTGCAGTGAGCCGAGATTGCACCACTGCACTCCATCCTGGGTGACAGAGCAACAGAGTGAGACTCCGTCTGAAAGAAAAAAAAAATTAAATTTTTATTTTTAATTTAAAATTTTATTTAATTCTCAAAACAATCATTTAAGGTAGGTCTATGATTATTCCCATCTTACAGAAGAGGAAACTGCAGAACAGAGAGGTTAAATGACTTTACCAAGGCCACACTATTTGTAGGAGTTCCAGTCCATGCTCTTAACTTCTGTGCTGTAGTGGTTTTTATACATACTAGGCTTGAATGCAGGACAGCGTGTCTTAATTCTAACCCTGCAGGGTTACATAACCAATAGAAGACACAATAGGTCAGTGCCCAGGAGACCACACTGCTACCCAGAATTTCCCACACTTATACCACATTTCAGAAACTCAGTATAAGAATGTAAAATATTTTATTAATAATGTTTATACTGACTACAGTTGAAAAGTATTATTTTGAACATATTGGGTTAAATAAGATATATTATTAAAATTAATTTTACTTTTTTTTTTTTTTTGAGACAGAGTCTTACTCTGTTGTCCAGGCTGGAGTGCAATGGCCCGATCTCTGCAATCTCCACCTCCTAGGTTCAAGTGATTCTCCTGCCTCAGCCTCCTGAGTAGCTGGGATTTACAGTCACCCACTACCACGCCCGGCTAATTTTTGTGTTTTTAGTAGAGACAGGGTTTCACCATGTTGGCCAGGCTGGTCTCAAACTCCTGACCTCAAGTGATCTACCCACCTTGGCCTCTCACAGTGCTGGGATTACAGGCATGAGCCACTGCACTTGGACTTACCTCTTTATTTTTACTTTAATGTGGCAGAGAGGAAATTTTAAATTAAATATGTGGCTTGCATTATATTTCTACTGGACAGTGCTGCTTAAGATGATAATCCTGGTTGAAAATCTATTTGTCTTTTCTGTTCCTCTACTACCAGGGCAACAGGGAGGAAGCTGACAACCCAAATACAGGGATTGGTGCCTTCCGATTCATGCTGGAATCCAACAAGGGCAAATCAATGTTGGAGTTCCAGGTACTTTCCCATGTACTTCCCTGGCTCTAATAACATGGGTCAGCCTGCTCCTATAATATATAATGGTTCCTACTAATTCCTAACTCACTGATACTGGAAAGGAAAGAAGATTGTTACACTGTTTTTCAAAAATAAATACCTTCCTGACCAGGCGTGGTGGCTCATGCCTGTATTCCCAGTACTTTGGGAGGCTGAGGCAGGTGGATCACTTGAGGCCGGGAGTTTGAGACCAGCCTGGCCAACATGGCAAAGCCCCGTTTCTACTAAAAATACAAAAATTAGCTGGGTATAATGGCACATGCCTGTAATCCCAGCTACTTGGGAGGCTGAGGCATGAGAATTGCTTGAACCCAGGAAGCAGAGGTTGCAGTGAGCTGAGATTGTGCCATTACACTCCAGCCTGGGTGACAGAGCAAGACTCTGTCTCAAATAGATAAGTAAATAAATAAATATTTTCCTTCCCCAAAGGCCTATCAGAGTTAGTGATGAAAGTTGCTTCTACAAATCCATTTTGTAAAAGGTTTCCCATGTAATTCTGATGTAACCTCCCAATATAAAATCACTGTCCCGGTACTTCCTATTCCTCCCCCAGGAGCTAATGACAGTTTTTCAACTGCTACACTGGAATGGCAGCCTTAAGGCCATGAGGGAACGACAATGCTCTCGGCAGGTAAGAGATTTTATGAGTGGGGGTGAATGAGGGGAGCACAATCTGTCAGTGGACTCTTTTGAGGTGGTTACTATGTTAGAAATAAGGTCTATTGTGACCTATGGTTGTGAATATTGAAAGCCTTACCTAAGTACCCTCTTCATCCCTGTAATCTTTCCTATTTAAATATTAGCTGTGATTCTTTTGTCTATCTTGCTTCCCCTACCAGGAAGTTTCCTTTAAGAATCTCCTTGAAGGATTTAGGTGCTGACCTCAGTTAGGTCTCTACTGAGTTCTTAGTCCCAGTTGGGTCAGTGTGGTATGATATGAACCTTTACCTTCTCAATGCTGTTCACATTCCCCTCCCCTACTAGGAGGTGTTGGCTCATTACTCGCACCGGGCTCTGGATGATGATATTCGCCACCAAATGGCCTTGGACTGGGTGAGCCGGGAGCAGAGTGTGCCAGGGGCACTGTCTAGAGAGCTGGCCTCTACTGAGCGGGAGCTGGATGAAGCCCGACTGGCAGGCAAGGAGCTGCGCTTCCACAAGGAGAAGAAAGATATTCTCGTGCTGGCTGCTGGGCAGTTGGGCAATATGCATTCTTCCAACTGCTAGGCATCCACCCACATACTCCCCAGCCTTTCCACAGCCTTTTTTGTATGTCTCCTTTCTAAGATTTAGAATGATTTTTTGTACATACTTTCTCAATTTTATACTTAAAAATATATATATATATGTGTATAGATTCTACACCTAGATTCCTATTTGCTAAGAGATCCCTTTTCTTACTTCCAGTTTTTGGATGTAGTTTTATTTGAAACATCTTCAGTCCACTTTACAAGAAAGAGCACGTTGTCTTTGAAGCTTTGTTAGCTCTTAAACTTTCAGATTAACTGTGTAGTCATTTCAGTAGCACTAAAAGATTAACTCAAGTGTTCATGTCTCCTTCTTTTCAAATATCAGTAGCTTGAATAAGGATTATATGCCCCACTCTTACTCTCATTCCTGCTTCTTCTTGGACTCAAACAGGGTATGAGTATGAAGATTTTGCCTTTAGTTCTTGAACTGAACCTGCTTGCTATCCCTTTCCTGCCCACCACTACCTTATTCCTTCTCTGCCTCCAAATTTCCACTTTGTTTTGAGGCTTCCTTCCCTACCTTATTATTCTGAAAGAAGTAGAGATCTTGCTTTTGAAGCCACTCCTAAGAAGCTGCCCAGGGACAAGTTAAATTACAAACAATTCATGGGACTTTACTACCTAAGTTGCTTCTAGGGCATATGTATACCGTACTAGTAGTCTAGATTTCTGGATATACTCTACAGTAGATGGGGGTTATGGTTGAAACTGATTATCTTTCACTATTCCCTCTGCACATCTCCCCTGCTCACCCAGCTTCGTTAAACCCTGCGTTTAGAACTTCCTGCCTGCAGCTATTAGTAGAAGGTAAAACATATTTCCATATTTCCTTTCACCCAATATTTTATTTTCTGGAAGCATTATCAGTCCTATCTGGTTAGTGAGAACCATGTTCCCCTTATTCCCGCTAAGTTGCTGCTGTTTACTACCTTAGATTCTCATTTGTTTTCTCTTTCTTTTCTCTTCTTCCACATTAATTATTAGAACATGAGTTGATCAGGAAAATTAAATGAGACTTTAGTTTTTAGCACTTCCTAATTGACACCTTGGGAGACTGCAGTTATTTGTGTGTGTGTGGTTTTTTTTGGTTTTTGGAGATGGAGTCTCACACTGTTGCCCAGGCTGGAGTGCAATGGGGCGATCTCGACTCACCGCAACCTCTGCCTTCAGGGTTCAAGCGATTCTCTTGCCTCAGCCTCCCCAGTAGCTGGGATTACAGGCACACGCCACCACGCCTGGCTAATTTCTGTATTCTTAGTAGAGACGGGGTTTCACCATGTTGGCCAGGCTGTTCGTGAACTCCTGACATCAGGTAATCTACCCGCCTCAGCCTCCCAAGGTGCTGGGATTACAGGCGTGAGCCACTGCGCCTGGCTTATTTGTGGGTGGTGGTGGTGTTTTTTGAGACGGAGTCTCACTCTGTTGCCCAGGCTGGAGTGCAGTGGTGTGATCTTGGCTCACCGCAACCTCCGCCTCCCAGGTTCACGCCATTCTCCTGTCTCAGCCTCCCGAGTAGCTGGGACTACAGGCGCCTGCCACCACGCCCAGCTAATTTTTTGTATTTTTAGTAGAGACGGGGTTTCACTGTGTTAGCCAGGATGGTCTCGATCTCCTGACCTCGTGATCCACCCGCTTCGGCCTCCCAAACTATTTGTATTTTTAACACCATTCTCCCCCACCTCTTTCCTGGGTGACATAAGCATAAGAGAGAAATAACCGGTAGTACAGCAGCTAAAGTATTCTCCTTTCAGAGAATTTTTTTGGAGGTCTCTAATATATATTTCCCCCTTGTTTCTGTGATCTCTTTTATACTATATTATTGTCCCATGTACTTTCTAAAGTGAGCTTGGGACATTTAGTATTCCTGCAATTGGACTTTGCACTTGACAGTTATACAGACTTTCCTTTTAGAAATAGATGAGGTTCCAAACAGAAAGTTCAAGTGTAACAATAACAATAAGAATAAATAGATTAGGAAATAGGCCATAATTTGCTCTTTTGGATTTGGTAGGGGCAAGATGAAAGGCAACTTTCTTGCTTTTGAAATCATGTTGGATAAGAGGTAAGGAATCCAGCTACAATTTTATTAGTGCTTGAAACGTGCTTCCTTGAATTCTGCAGGCCCTATCATTTTTTTTTTTTTTTTCTTACTAATCAGAAGAGAGCTGGGATAGAAGCCCCATCTTTGTATTCCATGAAACACGTTGG